GGGGGAGGGGTAGGGTGGGGAACTGGGCCAGGCAGAGAAGTGATGTTAGGGGTTCACCCATGACTAGGCTTCTCTGAAGACAGTGTTCAGGGGGCACAATTAGCTTTGCTTCAGAACCGTGACCCTGATAGGGGTTTTCTGGTGTGAAGAAGGTAGCGCTTTCAGGCCATCATGGGGTTTACAGTTCCAGTGTAGATTTCCCCCAGAAGGAAGGGACGTGGGCTGGGAACACCGAGCTGTGTTCAGTAATTAACACAGTGCTTGGCGTGTGCCAGCTAGTGAACAAATATTTGTGGAATGACTTACTTTTTCCAGGTGTCCATTTCTAGCTTAAGTAAAAACAAAACAAGGACACTAAAGACACCCGAGGAGTCTGCGGCCATACTACTCTGAACACACCTGATCACATCCAAAAACAGCCGAAGTAACACCGCCCGCAGACAGTTTGCTAGCGAGCCGGATCCACAGGCCTTTGTTTTGGGCTGCGAGTGCTGGCTGCTGTACAATGTTATCTACAGCGCCCATGTTTCTAGGAGAATCAATTGCAGACTTTACCCAGCCTGGCGCCTGGAACCAGTTGGTTCCCTGCAGCCTCTGTGGGGAGATAAACAGACCCAAATGAGGCCAACCTAGCTGCACAGGGCTTGGCTGTGACAACGGGATTTGGTTAGTGTAGGGCTTCTTAGGGTTTCACCATGCTCACCTCGGGGAAGTGGTCCCAAGCTGTACCTCAGGGACTGGAGACCAGCTGGGACTCTTTTGGAAGTCGAGAGAAAGGAAGGCCGTCTGGGCCCAGCTCTTCAGAGTTCCGTGCACAGACTGCTTGCTCACCCGCGTAAGCAAGGACTTTGGAACTGGGGCCCGCCCCTCGCCTGCTTCTCTCAGGGAACCGTCCAGCTCATTTTCCATTGTCTTCTTGGAAAGATGTGTGCTTAGCTTCTGGCCCGTGAGCTTTCTGTTTCTGAGACTTGACTTCCCTCTCCCGAGGCAAGGTTGAAAAGAACAATCGCTTCTCCTTTGCAGAACCCCCCTCCCCCCCAGGAAGCTCTGCTCCAGCGCAGGTGACATCACCTTTTCATTACCCTGCTTAAAGACTTAAATAGAAGAAATGCGATCTGCTCGCATGATAAGTCTGATTTGGCTGAAGCATGAAGAATAAATGGCTTTGCAGTCAGAATCAAAAGAACCCTTTTACCGCGTTCCTTTTCCTCTATCTGGCACAGGTTATTGCCATATTTAATTTCTTTGCTGTAATCTAGCGAAACTGTAGCTGCTGCACATGGGAACAGTGGCCGGGAAAGTTCCCAGTGGCTAACCCCATTCTCCCATTCTCCCTACTCCCAGATCATGGCCCTCCACCCTCGAAGAGTCCGACTGAAGCCCTGGCTCGTGGCCCAGGTGGACAGTGGCCTCTACCCTGGTCTCATCTGGCTACATAGAGATTCTAAGCGCTTTCAGATCCCCTGGAAACATGCCACACGGCACAGCCCCCAACAAGAGGAAGAAAACACCATATTTAAGGTAATGAACTTCCTTCTACCATCTGAGTTGAATTTTGTCCCAGTTCTCTGAGGCCATTCTGGGCTTGTTAGCTTTCTCTATTCCAGCATTCTGGCGTGGTGGCGTGTATATAATGAGATGCCCAAATTGTGATTCCTCTCCTCAAGCTGTGTCTATGAGGCCGAAGCCTTTTACGTTTCCATTGTTTGGAAGATACTCGGTTCATATCCCAGTGGATCTGGGATGTGTGTGTGTGGGGGGGGGGGGAGTGGTTCAACTCCCAGGGGATGCAGGATGTGACTTCTCCAAAAGAACTAAGGTTACCCACCCACTTGCCCAGGGCTCTTGCCATGAAGAAAGGTACTTGGGCCTGGGGGTGGCTAACTTGACACGGGTTGTCACTGGTCTTTCACATAGCCTATAAGATAATGCAGACACCTGCACCCGGGAAGCTGTTCTTTTAATCTTACATATTTTGTCCCACTAATAACCTCTGCTTAAAAATTAAAGGTGCATGATTTAAATTTTTATTCCTTTTAAAGATTTATTCTTATTTTTAATTATGTGGTAGGGGGGTACTGTGTGTGTGTGTATGTGTGTGTGTGTGTGTGTGTGTGTGAGTACAAGTGTCGTTTGCATCAGAAGCATTGGCTCCTGAAAACTAGAGTTTCCGGCGGTTGTGAGCTGCCTGATATAGGTGCTGAGAACCAAGCTCAGGTCCTCTGCAAAAGCAGTGTAGACTTTTAACAGCCGAGCCGTCTCTCCAGCCTCACATTCTTATTCCTTAAATATCTTCCTTCCTCCTCTACCCTTTCCTCTCTCCTCCCCTTCCGTTCCCTCCCCACTCCTCTTTTCATTGTTTTTCTCTTTCATTCCTAAGGATGAAGCTCAGGGCTTTGTACATGTAGGGCACACACACACATTACCACCTAACTACAACCCAAGCCCTGATTACGTTTTCTTAAACAGCAAGGAATTCTATGATTCTCATTGTAGTCAACTAAAGATGAGATTTAGTCACATTGTACTTTACTAAATTTAAGAGAAACCAGAGCTCAACTTCAGGCAGAAGAAAGTGGGCAGTGGTTATGGAAGGGTTTCACTGTGGTTGAAATCCCAACCCCAGGACCTGCCTCTCCACTATAGACCAACTTCCCCTTCCATGTCAGGAGTTCCTGCAGCTCAGGATGTGTTGTCAGCCTGTCCTTTCTTCCTTGCTTATATGCTGGAAGGCTGCGCTGTGATCTAGTCCTGACTGTGGGATCAGGAAGAGGCGGAGGAGGTGGGTCCAGGGCTCTTGTTGATGCAATTTCCTACCTATGTCAGGTGTAGAGAGGGGAGAGGCAGAGAAAATTGGCTTGAGAGTACTTTGAAAGTGTGTAAATGACACACACTTAATTTAGATATGAATATTATGGAATTGTTAAGGAAAATATTGGTAAACCAGTGCCCATCACTGTGGAGCCGACACTGGGAAAGGGTTGTGCTCTGATGGCATACCTTGCAGCCTTGTTCTGAGTCTATGGCATCCCTTGCAGCCTTGTTCTGAGTCTATGGATTACCTTGCAGCCTTGTTCTGAGTCTATGACTTCCCTTGCAGCCTTGTTCTGAGTCTATGGCTTACCTTGCAGCCTTGTTCTGAGTCTATGACTTCCCATGCAGCCTTGTTCTGAGTCTATGGCTTCCCTTGCAGCCTTGTTCTGAGTCTATGGCTTCCCTTGCAGCCTTGTTCTGAGTCTATGGCTTTCCTTGAAGCTTTGCTCTGAGTTGATGGCATCCCCATGGGAGGTCTTGAGCAAAGCATGCAACCTTTCTGGGGTCCAGTTTTCCCCTTGGTAAGCTGGGGTGGAGCCAGTCTGTCTGCTTCTTAGAATTGTCATGAAGATCAAATAAAGTGTGGGGAGATATTTGTAAAGTACTATAAAAATGTAGAGTTAATAGCCATCTTAGGGAGACAAAGAGGGCCTTTGCAGTTACCAGGGCTTTGAACAAATACAATGTATACATCACAGCATTTGCCCGTGACAATGTATACATCACAGCATTTGCCCTTGCAGTGCTTCATGGCCCTCCCTTCTTGACGCTGAAGTTGTGCTTGTAAAGGGTACAGCCCTCCTGCTGTATCAGCTGAGCTGGATAAGGAGGTGGCTGGGTGTGAGCAGGAAGCTGGGGTTAGGCAGGGACACAGCTAGCCTAGCTGTGCTGTGAAGGAGCAGGGCTTAAGGGTATCACAATATGGAAGATTTCTTCCAGAATCTGCAGCTGGAGTCAGCTGGATGGAGTCAGAGCCAGTGTGAACACAGGAAGTAAAGACAAGCTAAGGGGAGACCAGGGACGCCATAGGCAGGCAGGCAGGCAGGCAGGCAGGCAGGTAATGGCAGGTGTGCATCTCGGCTATTAGGGACGGTGGAATTGAGACTCCCTATGGGGTTAGGTAGATGGAGCCAGCCTTTAGCCACCCTGATGCCTGCTATGCCACACAGGGCAGCTCAGCCACATTGTTGGTATTCTTTATCCTGTACTGCAAAGAGGAAGGCAGATCCGAGAAGGTGGCTGGAGGAAGCAAGCCTGAGTTGGAAGATGAAGAGGACATAGATTAACCCCGGACCCTTGTATCATGGTCAATAAAAACCCAGGGACAGAAATTAGGGTTCAACCTGAAGGTCAGAAAAGCAAAACAATCCAGCCACTGGCTTTTACCTCGACCTCAGTCTGAAATGGCGAACCTGTCTCCAGGAATCTCAGAATGAAACTGTGTGACAGCTGTCTGCTCTCATCTTATATTCCTCTGTAGTCCTGGGATTAAAGGCGTGCACCACTACCACCCAGTTTCTATGGCAAACTAGTGTGGCTCCTGGGATTAAAGTGTCACCACTGCCTGGTCTGTAAGGCTGATCAGTGCAGCTGTTTTACTCTTCAGGCAGGGTTTATTTATTAAAATACAAATGAAATATCACTACAGACCCCGCTGCTCTGCAGGACAGGATCTAAGGAGATCAGAGATGTCAAAAGAGGGTGCAAACGTTGAACTTCAGCTTAAGAAAAGGTCTGTGTCTAGCGTGGTGCTGCCTGTCTATAATAGCAGTACCCTGGATGCTGAGGCAGGAGGATTTCTGTGAGCTTTTGAGGGCAGCCTGAACTACAAAGTGAGACTCCAAAAATCAAAAAGGAAAAAGTACTCTACAGCAAGAGTTTGGGCAAGTACTCTGCCCTGTCAGCTTGAAAAGGTCCAGGAAGGGGGCTGGAGAGATGGCTCACAGGGGCCGATAACTCCAGCTCTAGGGATCCCACAATCTCTTCCATTTTTGGAGGGCACCAGCACATACATGAACACCTTCATGTGCCAAATAGACATAATTAAAAAATTAAAATATTAAACAAACCCTCAAAAAACAGATGGAGGAGCCGGGCGATGGTGGCGCATGCCTTTAATCCCAGCACTCGGGAGGCAGAGGCAGGCAGATCTCTGTGAGTTCGAGACCAGCCTGGTCTACAGAGCTAGTTCCAGGACAGGCTCCAAAGCCACAGAGAAACCCTGTCTCGAAAATCCAAAAAACAAAAAAACAACAACAACAAAAAAAAAAACAGATGGAGGAAGGAGGGGAAAAAAGGAAGAGAAGAAAAAGACTGTCTGCAGTCCTACTATACAGTGTTGCCCCAGGCTTCCATTTTCAGCACTGTTGTCTGGACAGGAGCTGGTGCTCCAGCCTGAACTAAGGCTCTTTTCAAAGCTGGGTTTGCATACAGCTTGATTTCCCTTTGGCCTGCCTCGGTTAGTCCTAAGGTCAGAATTATCCACTGCAGTCTCTACACTGGTGTTGAAACTGTAGAGCACTCACAGATGTATGTGCTAGTGTGTGTATTCATGGGGACACATGTGAAAGGGGTGCACACATGCTTGACTGTGGTTCTCCATAGTGGTCAGCCCCCATGCTGTCTCATTTCCCAGGCTTGGGCTGTGGAGACTGGAAAGTACCAGGAAGGAGTGGATGATCCTGACCCAGCTAAGTGGAAGGCTCAGCTCCGCTGTGCTCTCAACAAAAGCAGGGAATTCAACTTGATGTATGATGGCACCAAGGAGGTGCCCATGAATCCTGTGAAGATCTACCAAGTGTGCGACATCCCCCAGCCCCAGGGCTCTGTCATTAACCCAGGTAAGGCTCAAGGCTTGGACAGACCCAGAGTTGGGCTCTTAAAGAGACAGGTTGAGATCAGGCCATTCCCTAGGAAGTGCTCAGAGAGAGCATTAGGTGTAAGCAGTTAAATTGTGAGTGCTTCAAGCAGATGAGGGTGTAGTTCTG